AGGCTGAAGTTCCCGAAACTTCCAGGAGTTGCCTTAACCGGGACCTATGATGGTAACCTCAGGAGAGCCCACGTGAAAGCAGGGAGCACGTGGCTTATGTGCAGGGGATGCTCAGTCGGGGTCATCTGGATAAGAAAAGTGAACTTTACTAACGCCACACACCTTCACCTGTAAACCAAACACCTGAACGATTGCGGAGAACACTCAGTACACTTTCTGCCATTTCTGCATCGGAAGCAAGTTACTGTCAAGATAATCTGGGGGGAGTCGGAGAAGGCCGACCACAAAACAGATTCAAAGAGACAAAATAGAAAACATGCTGAATCGTTTACAACGTCAAATAATCTTCGTCACTTGCGATCTGAGAGCTGGCACAGCCTGAGAGTTCGCCTCGTCAGATACTTCGAGTGCAGCCTTTACCAATTCTGCTGAGATGAGGGACTCCCCTCACACTGCTCATGGGCCAGCTCTGAAAGTAAGATTTTGGGCCCATATTTGGAAAACTAACTCTCCTTTTATATCTCGAGCTCTTTTTTGCATCAGCGGCCAAGGGAGCTGGGTAGGGCACCCAGAGACTGGCCAGGTGGGGTCAGGCAAGGACAGTGCCAGACAGAGCTGCCCAGGCTCACATTATTCTTTTCGTGGTGCTAGGGCAGGCGTGATCTGCACAGCCTGGCACAGAAGTCACCTGAACCTTCTCATGAAGAGCTGCCTCATTTCCCCTTGATTTCGAGATCACAGGAGAGAAAGCAAAAGGGAGGCAGGGAGAAAAGGAAGCTAAGAAATAGGTGGTGTGTAACTATTTCCTGCTGGAATTGCCTCAGACCACAGGAAAGAGGGCATGATGATTAGGTGGGAAATCTAGAACATAATTTATATCAAAGACAATAATTCAAAGACTTAAAATTGCATAATTAGCTTAATATTATTTTACTTACAAGGTCTCATATTTCAGTACTAAAAATGCTAACGCTTTAAAAAATAAAATTGGCCTTTTATTCCTAGCCTATTATTCTTTGCATCCCCGGCACTGAGCATTGTCACGGCACTTAGCACACACCCCACTATGTTTGATAAACTGATGAGTTAATGGATGAGGTTTCAACCCTCTGGGCCAGATTCCCTATGACAGCCACTCGTTCGTTTATTACCGCGCACGGGAAACTGTCAGCCACAGGGTTTTGTTTATACATTTTCCTAACAGCAAACATGATTCTCCAGGTGATAAAGAGAAATAAGTCAACTCAAGTTCTCATCTTTCAGGGCCCAAGATTAAAACTTACTCAAAACAGCCACTTTTACAAGTCAGGAAAGTAAAAACACTATTTCATAATATGTCAAAAAAAAAAAGTCAACCTGTTTATAATTTTGTTTTGGAAGCAGTGCAGAATGAAACATTTTGGAAAGCACTGCCAAATTCTAAAAAAAATCTCATAAAGCCAAAACCAAATTCAGCTCATTAAACAAAGTGGGGGGAAAAAAACTGTATCGATTCAAGGCAATAAAAGTTTAAACAGAAAGTTCATGAAAGATTAATAAATTCCAGATGTGGCCCCGCTTTTTAACTATTAAGCAGTCAATCCAACTTCCATTGGTTAACTAACACAGGACAGGTTTGCTTCTAATTTATACTCCTTTCACATCCCTGACTCCTTAAGAAGGTATCTTCCAAGCCAAAATATGCTAACATTTTCTGCCTTGAAATAAACGTGTGAACTTTCTGGGCTTAGGTACTTTCTTCTTCCTCTTATCCAGCCACAAATGGTCTAGTTAACTCCACCGCATTGAATAATATATGAGTAATTACAAATTAAAACATATATATGTTTATATAGTATATACATCAAGTACTATATATATATATAAGTAGTATGTATATAAAATTAAAAACAAGTAAGATAATGGCCAAGTGAAATGAATTAAAATAATGAAATTAATTCTAAGAAGAATTTTAATCAAAAATGAATTCAAAATTAATCAGTCTTCTGTTTTGTGAATTCAACAGATGTAAGTGACTGTTAACTGGTAATCTAACCAAAAACGACTTTCACAAACTAATTTTAAAAGTACCTAAAGCCTAAAGCAAGTTTTCCTCTACAGTTAGGCAAGTTCGGTCTGCTGATCTGCCCCACTTCTCGATACATACACACTGCTGTCAATAATCCACAAACACCAACTTTTGATAAAACATTTTCTAAACACATTGAGAAAAATCAAGATGATTCAAATATCTGAGCTGCACCTAAAAAAATGCTATAAGACAATGACCAATGTTTACCGACCTGGCTCATTTCCCTGCCTCCAAGCCTGCCAGCCCTTGACCCAAACCAAGCAACAGCCATCTGTCTAGTATCTGAACTCAGACTGGCAGAGGGTGAAGGGATGGTTCAGGAACCATGAAAGGAAGGAAAGGAATTGTTCAGAAGTGCCTACTACGTGCCAGGCATTGTTATGCAATTTTACACACATTATCTTATTTAATCCTTACGACAGCTCTATGAAGTAGAGTTAGGTTTTTTACAGCAAAGGAAACAGACTCAGATGTCCCCATGTCATCTAAATATAAATATTATCAAAGTATTCTTTTTCACACACTCTTTTTATTACTTTTTGGTTTATAAGAAAATTCTATTAAACGGCCCATCCAATTTTGGAGGCTAAGATGGGTTGGATATTGAGTTATTTATTTTACTAGGGCCTAGAGCTATAGTCTATGCTACATAAAATAATTATGTGATACTATGATTACAACTAGATTTAAAATGCTTGTGCCTTTCAGGGTGACGGATATGATCATTTTCTTGGTTGTGGTGATGGTCTCACAGGTATACACATACATCAAAAGTGATCAAACTATACAACTGAAATGTGCAGTTTATTGTATGTCAATTGTACTTCAATAAAACTGTACAAAAAACTATGTTCATGGATAAGATCTAAATAGAAATTTAAAAAGTGAAATATCCATAGTTGATAGAGCATTCTGAATCAAATGAGCTATACAGTGATTGCAAACAAGATTTCTCTATCGGCATTGCTCAATGTATAGTGTATATAACACCAGCTCTAGGGCATGTTACAAGTGTTACACACACACACACACACACACAACAGTGGAGGGGTGTTAGTGGAGACCCACTAGTCAAGCTATGCTGCAGAAATCCTCCTGACTATATAGTCCTTCTGTATCACTGTCCTAGGGTACAAAGTACAAGTTGAGCGGCTTAAACAGCAGAAATGTATTGTCTCACATTCGGGAAGCTGAAGTCCAAAATCAATGTGTCGGCAGCTGAAAGCTGCGAGGGAAAAATCTATCTCAGGCCCCTCTCCTTGGCTTGTGGATGGCCATGTTCTCCCTGTGTGCTTGTCTGTCTCCAAATTCCCCCATTTTATGAGGACACCAGCCGTACTGGATCAGGACCCATCTAATGAATTCATTTGAACTTGATTACCTCTATAAAGACTGTCTCCAAGTACGGTCACCTTCTGAGGTACTAGAACTTAGGGCTCCAACATATAAATTTGAGGGGGACACAGCTCAACCTGTAACACTCTCCAATAGTGCTAACCTGGCAAGAGATTCCTGAGAAGTCCAGTTTACAGATTTACCCTCCCTATGGAAGTCGGAATCTGACAGAGTCTTACCCACCTGAGTGTCCTTCTTTAATGTTCTAATTTATACTCTGGTTTGGTAAGGTATCCTTATTCCATTATGTAAACAGACTATCAAAAAATTTTTCCTTCATCTGATATCTACATATGGATGCCTTTTTACTATGGTTTCTGTTAATGATCTACCCATTCTATGTCAGGCACAATATTCATCATCCTCACATCCCTTTAGAGCAGGTATTTTTCATATTTAGAGGGTGGGAGGGGTCAGGGTACCCTCCCAAGGTCACACAGCTAGCAAGGAGCAGAAAGTGGGGATTTAAACCCAAGTCTGACCCCAGAGTCCCCACCCCTCCTCTCTAGCACACCGGCTTCTAAACAGGGGCCGGCTGCACCATCCTTGTACTTTCACTGAGGTTGAATTCACCCAGCGAGGAGAGAAGCAGCTTTGAAAGGGGAAAAAGAAATCAAGAGTTCTATTTTGGACATGAGATGCCATTAGATATTCAAGTGGAAATATAAAATAGGAAGCTGAATATGTTAGTCTGAAATGCAAGAGACAGTTGGAGCTGGAAGAATAAACTTTTCATTCATCCGCATATGTGTGGTATACTAAGACCAAGGATTGGACGACATCGCTTCATGATGTAGAACAGATACCAGCAAACTGGCCACAGGCCACTGCCTGTTTTTTTTATGAACTGTGAACTAAGAATGGTTTTTACATTTTGAAACAGTTAATTAAAATATTAGAGTCCATCAGTAGTTTTACTGGAGCACAGCCACACTCACTCATTTGTATAACGTCAATGGCTGCCTTTGTGCTACATCAGAGTTGAACGGCTGCGGCAGACTGTATGGCCCACAAAGCCTGAAAGATTTAGTATCAGACCCTTTACAGGAAGTTTGCCAATCCCGCCTAGAGAGAGGAGAGAAGCCTGAGGATGGACCCATCCCTGGTGGTGACACTGAGACACCGGGATGAGGAAGCACATACAGCGAAGGCGACTGAGCAGAGCATCCGGCGAGGTAAGACGACAACTGGGCATAGGATGTCCCCAAGGCAGCGAAGAAACCGGAAGCCAGGGGAGAGCAGTGTTTCCAGAAGGAAGGAGGGAACAACAGTAGGGTCATGTAGGGGGAGGACTGAGAACTGACCACTGACCACATGGGCATCACTGAAGACCAAGCATAAGCAGCTCTGGAGAAATGGGACAGAGTCTGACTGAAAGAGATTCAAAGAAGGAACAGAAAGCAAGGAAGTAAATATGGAGGCTAAACAAGGTTTTCAAGAACCTTTACTATTACTGGGGTGGAGACAGCAGCCAGAGTGGACCACAAGGTAAAACACACGCTTTGGTTGTTCATTTTAAGAAAGGAGATCTTACCGTCTGATGAGATGCTGACAGGAATGATCCAGCAGGGGAAAAATGATGAAGCAGGAGAGATGGGGAGCAGTCACCGTAAGAACGAAGGGCTTCAGAGAGCACAAGGGTGGATGGTGCCCGTGAGTCACTGGCCAGGAGCAGAGGTGGTCATCTGTCGTAACAGGGAAGGGGAGGGAGGGATATGGGTATGGATACAGGTCTGCCGGGACAGGCAGTGGTGGGAAGATGAGAAAGTTCTCTTCCTACTCCTTTTTTCTCAGTAAAATAAGAAATAAAGACATTAGCTGACAGGGGACATGGGAAGGTTGCTGAGCATGAAAGGAGGGGACAAGGCAGGAATCCGTCACCCCAGAGAGTGAGAAAGTAAACTGACAAGGGTGGTGTGCCAGGATCGTCTCACAGCTCTCTGGGAGCACTGAGAGATGTGATGTCATACATCTAAGGAGAAACCATTCAGCGGGGTCGTGGTAGTTTCTCTCCAGCTACGTTCAGACACTTGAACACCAAGATGCTTATGCAGCAAGGAAACTGGACTAAGGGAATTGAGGGTGTACGTATGCAAAGAGTGGCCATTCAATAATGGACCATGGAACCTAAGTTGGGTGAGGATGTGAGGACATGAGCAGGGGTTGAAAGACAGTATAAAAGTGACAAGGTCAACAAACCCTGGAGGTCCCAGTGGGATCAAAGAATTTTTAAGTGGATTATGTAAACAATTACCCAAATATGTACTACGAATTTAGGTCTTCAAATATCACATTTTTTAAAACCCTAAAGCAGACTCTTGCCTAGAATTCTAGCTGGTATCTGATGGGATTACAAAAATGTAATAGCTTAAGCAGCAGGCGCCCCTCACCACCTATCAATCATTCATTTCCTCCTGTCAAGGGAGAGAACTTGATGAAGGTCATTATCATTCCACTCATGTCTTCTCTGTGCAGCCATGAGGGATAAGACATCTGAGGATAGCACAAGGGGAAGAGGGAAGCAGGCTTTCGGGGGAAACAGGCTTTGGGGGCACTCATGAGAGAGAAAAAGAATCGGGAAGAGAAAGGGAGTGAGAGGAGGTTGAGAGAAAGAAGGAAGAGAGGTGATAGCGACAGTAAGGATGAAAATCACTTTAACAAAGGGTAAAGAAAGTAATGAGTTCTCCACATGATGGTCATCAGCAGGAGGAAACATCCAGATGTCATATACTGAGCAGTCATTAGCACCGAGACTCCAAATTTATCAAACACCAGGTGTCCTTTCTTCCAATACAAAAAGGAATTGTCATTTTAAAAAATCATTTGTATTAGGACAGTATCTTAGTGTCCTAGGGCTGCCCTAGAAAATACCACAAACTGGTGGCTTAAACCACAGAAATGTACTGTCCCACAGCTCTGGAGGCTGGAAGTCTGAGATCAAGGTGCCAGCAGGGTGGTACCACTCAGAGTTGAGAAAGAGAATGTTCCATGCCTCCCCTCTCGCTTCTGGTGGTTTGCTGGGAGTCTTTAGCATTCCTCAGCTTCTGCTGCACCACCCTGATCTCTGCCTTCATCTTCACGTGGCTCTCCCTGTGAGCACGTCTGAGTCCACATTTCCCCTTTTTATAAAGACGTCTAGTCATATCAGATTAGGGCTCACTCTACAGATCTCATTTAACAGAGGTAAGGAACAGAGCTAAGTACTCTGTAATGACCCTATCTCCAAGGAAGGTCACATTCTGAGGTACAGAGACTAAGACTCCAAGATTTCTTTTTGTGACAGGAGCACAATTCAAGCCACAACAGACAGGAAGGCTTGTCTCCGTTTTCTCTCTTAAATTAGAATGCACGTAACGGAGGCCGGCCAGTAGCACAGTGGTTAAGTTTGCATGTTCCGCTTCGGCGGCCCAGGGTTTGCCAGCTTGGATCCTGGGTGTGGACACGGCACCACTTGGCAAGCCATGCTGTCACAGGCATCCCACATATAGAGGAAGATGGGCACAGATGTTAGCTCAGGGCCAGTCTTCCTCAGCAAAAAGAGGACTGGCAGCAGATGCTAGCTCAGGGCTAATCTTCCTCAAAAAAAAAAAAAAAGAATGCAAGTAACCTAGGGGCAGATACCATTTTTCAAAGAACTCTGCCTCAAAAGATGGAGGATTTTACAGAAAAAGTGCATATTTTACAATCTTGGTTGGAGTTGATGTTAAAGGTGGTACAAAACAGTTTTGTTAAATTTCCTATCAATGTATGATTTCATCAGAAAGAACCTCAAAGCCGAGGAAGTGGTTTTGAAATTAGATTTTCTGGAGTTTAGTTTTTCCAATGTGCAGGATTATGCATTTCCTGAGAAAGAGGTGAAGGCAGAAGAAAAAAATTACATAGTGCCCTCCCATACACTTCTGCCACAACATAGAAAAGGAATTCCTAACATATATATTTTTTTTATCATAAGCTAAAGATTTTCCTTAGTTTGGGGTGACATGATATATAAATTAAGCATAATCTACATCCCAAGACCCTTTTCAAGAATAAGTCTTTGCGATGGAGGGAGGAAGTGATTATAAAAGGGCAGCAGGGGGAGTTTTTGGGGGGTAATAGAATTTTTCTGTGTCCTGATTGTGGTAGCAATTATAGGAATTTACATATGAGTTAAAATTCATAGAACTGTACACTCAAAACAGTCAATTTTACTATATGATAATTTAAAAAAGAATATTAGGACTTAGCATTTATTTTTTAACAGTTTTAAGTGACATCTGGTATTAATCCCATTTTTCAGGTAAGGAAAGTGGTGGCTTGAAATTAAATAACTTGCCCAGGATCTAACACTTAGGTGGAGGATTTAGGATTTGAAACCACATCTGGCTGGCTCCAAAGCCAGTACTCTCTTCTACTGGCCCACAATGCCACCAAGAGAACTACGAAAGTACTTAACCTGGCTATGCCTGCTCCCGCTCAGAGCTGCAAATCCTTGATCAAGAACAAAGGCTATTGTCAGAGGGAACACACACACAGACCTAGGATTCCAAAGAGAGAGCACAGAACAAAACATGGAAACCCATCCCACGTACATAACATCATTTCTTGGGTACACTTGCTTCTGTGGCAGATGTCCAAAGACAACAGCCTATGTGCTGTGTGTCAACAGTCTCAGCTCTGATTGCTAGGATAAGCTCTATTCCACATGCAAAGAATAATCACCTGCCGACTCAGGCCTCTGTACTTAACTACTAGAAAAAGAGAGGGAGAAAATATGCCAGTCAGGAAACGGAAAGCATGCATTCTGTTCTTTTCCATTTTACTTGGATGGGTCTCCACTTAGAAACATAAGAAAACAGGGCATCAAGTTGACCAGCCCGGGCACACTGTTGTATTGAATTCTCTAGAATAGGTCTTTAGAAGTTTCCAGGCATTCTTCATTTGATGCTGAGTGTGGCCCCTGTCGGCGTCTCAGCAAACAAGGAAGTTTAATCTTAGGATGAAATGACAGCACTTTCCCAACATCTTCTGCACTCCAAATAAGGCCATGAAGACACCCAGAAGCAAGCCTCCTTAAGTACCGATCATCTCACTTATGACTAATGGCCCAATGCATTCAGCAAATACCTAAGGGAAGAGTCAGTGCGAGGTCATCCACTAAGTAAGGGCAAACTATACAGGCTCTTCTTAAAAAAGGTTAAGAGAGGCTTGCTCTTGACAGACTGTTCTGATTTTCAGGCAAACTGCCGGTCTTGTTTTCTTCAGTCTCACACGCATACGTGTCTGTGTATACAAGTCCACTTCTTTCTTCAGCAAGAAAACCCAAATACGTTCTTATAACTACTGCAATGGAGACAAGAACAACTGAGAGTCAAGTTTCACAGTGCCGATTATTATGACAAAGTCTGTACATGTCTTTTAATTTCATCACCTAAATTCCTTCCGGCAGGGACAACTCATCTTCATATCCATCCACCGGAATTCTAACTAGAGTGCCCTGAATGCAGTAGAGATATAGGAAGCATCTACTGAACTGAATTAAAGTGAAATGAGGGAAAATGAAATACCTAATTTAGAACAAAAGATTTAGGCTTTTTGTCTTACAAAACTGTTGAAACCTAACCACTGCCACATAATCTTGAGCTGGAACCACTGCCAAAAGTCTTTCCAATGAACTAGAAAGCAAACAAAATTTTTTCTATTAGTTGAACCATATGAAATTGCCGATTTTGTAGGTCAAAATTTACTGGATATCAACAATTTGACACAGTTCATTCTAATAGAAAATAACCAATCATACAAACTAAGCTGGAAAATCTAGATTTATCTTCATCGTACGTTTCACTTACAAAATACTCATATACAAAGGATAGCTCACAAGGCATAAACTACGTTAATGTAAAAAAACGTGTTTCAGGATACATAAGGAAATCACTTTAATCGGAACTTATTTTTAAATTAGCTTTAATAACATGTAATTTACATATAATAAAACTCACTAATTTTAAGTGTAGAATTTGATGTGTTTTGACAAATGTATCCAGTCTTGTCACCTCCACCACTATCACGCCCCTAATTTGCTTTCTGTCACTATAGCAGTTTCGCCTTTTCTAGAATTTCTCATAAATGGATTCACACAAGACGTACTCTTTTCTGTCTGGCTTCCTTCACTTAAGCACAAGGCTTTTGAGATTCATCTACACTGTTTCATCAGTAGTTCATTTCTTTTTATTGCTAACTAAAACCACAATTGTTTATCCATTCACCAGGTAGGTTGTTTCCAGAATTTGGCCATTATGAATAAAGCTGTTATGAACATTTGTGTATACATCTTTTTCATGTGTGTGTGTGAGGAAGATTGGCCCTGAGCTAATATCTGTGCCAATCTTCCTCTATTTTGTATGTGGGATGCTGCCACAGCATGGCTTGACAAAGGGTGCATAGGCCTGTGCTCAAGACCTGAACCCACAACCCCTGGGCGCATGAACTTAACCACTATGCCACCGGGCCAGCCCCTATACTTCTTTTTTTATACATAGATTTTCATTTCCCTTGGGCCAAGGAGTGAAATTCCTGAGTTGTATGGTAAATGTATGTTTAACTTTATAAGAAACTATCAAACTGTTTCCAAAAGTGGTTATCTCATTCTACATTCCCAGCAGCAATGCAGGAGAGCCTCAGCTGTTACAAATCCGCACCAACACTT